ATATAACAATTTTCAAATCCTATATATATATACAAGTCCTCACGACAATAGAGTATTACAAATCACAATTCACAGCACAAACTCTACACATAAACTCAGCACTTCTCCAATAGTTAATATTTGGTGAAAACCCTAACTAAGTAGAGAAAGAATAATGGAAGAGAGGAAGAAGATGAAGTTGAAGAAAGGTTGGATTGTAGTGCAAGTTGGATTATCAGACATAATTAGCAATGATCATATTCAAGATTATTGTTGTGAGTTATATAAGAGATTCTACATTCCAATTTCATACTTGTACAATCCCCTCTTCCAGACGCTTCTTGAAAAAGCTTCGGAAATATATGGCTATCAAACAAACGGCCCACTAATGCTGCCGTGCTCTGTCGAAGAATTTCTTGTTCTCCGGTGGCGGATTGAAAAAGTTGTCTCGAACAAGTAATCCCATCTAGAAATTATTCCTTTGGTTCTGAATGTATTGTTGTATCTTTCTTTCTTTTTTTCTTTCGTTTTTAAATTTAATTAGATGATAAACATGTGGCTGTAATGTAGATGCCATGGATGTAAATTAAATCTTTCACAGTTGATATAGAAAATTTCATATAACTATAGTGATTATTGCTAGAAATATTTTACTTAATTAAACCTAGGAAAGCAAGAAAAAATGAGATACACAACACAAAAGCTGGGGGATTAAACATGTAGTAGTTCTATAACAAATAAAAATAAAATAAACTAAATTAAATGCTAAATTAGATTTTTAGAACGGTATACTTTATTATATATTGCATGAAGGCTTATTTCCGCTGTTCACCACCAATTTTCATTCTATTGACAAAAGCTCAATGTTATTTTAGTTAAAATATTCACATTTCAGAGTTTTAAGAAGTTTGGTTAGTTTTAATAAGTTCATTGCAAATGTTTAGAAGATCGACTTCGAACTCTCATGAGTTAACTATCGTTGCAAAACTCTAACCTCACTTAATTAGAAACTTTGTTGCTCAGTTCTTTCCAGTTTGTTGTTTGATCACTTCAGATAAGCTTATTCGAGTTTTAGCTATAACGATGAAATGAAAAAAATAAGTATTTAACTAAAGGTACTTCAATTTAATTTTCTTTGCAATTTAAATTTCATATGAGGGGCTGTTAATTTTTCTCTTTCTAATTACACTAGTTAATCTGAACATACTCATACCCTTTGGAAGGGACAAAATTATAACTATAAAACGAGATAAACAATCCTTCATCAGTTCTTGAAAGCCAATGCAAATTAGAGTTAATTTTTCGCTTTAGATTTCTTTTTTTCTTTTTGAAATTTTCCGATTTTTTGTGATTTCAATTTGATCCGTCCGATTTCCACTCCGAGATCTGAGTCATTCATAGGGGAATTACAGGAACCGGTAACATCCTCCTAAAAATAAATCAATTTTATACGACTTTGTCTAATTAAGTTTTAACGAATCTATTAGTATTCATCTTAATTTTCTTGATCTTTATTATTAGTTCCTCTAATTGATCATAACATCCAAGATTCGATAGTCTTAATTAGCACTTTGTGATGTCTCAATGATAATCAACAAGTGATCTTCTTCGCTAAACCCAAGAAATTAAGATTGCGATTACAAGGTACAGAAAGATTCTTTTTTTGTCTTATTTTTTCTCCTTCCGAGAATATTTTATAAAGCCAAAAAACACATTGTTTATATATATTATGAATCTATTATCTATAAAGATTCGCCTTCATGCATGTTAAACATTTTCAGATTTGAACAAACACAATATTTGACCAAATAATTAATTAATCACTCTTAGTGGTTGAAATTAATTACTAATAAATAATGCTCCACCCATATATTCTCTAATAATAATCGATCGTATAAAAAAAACATAATATTATTATATTATATATATTTACATATGCAAAATATAATATTTATCAAATCTTAAATCCTATATAAGTCTTCAATATCACACCACAACTCTACTCATAAACTTAGTAGCTTCTCACATATTTACTTGAGTTGCCCCAATAATTATTTGGTGTAAACTCTAATTAATTAGATAAGAAAAAATGGAAGAGAGGAAGAAGATGAAGTTGAAGAAAGGATGGGTTGTAGTGCAAGTTGGATTATCAGAAGTTAGCAATGATCAAATTCAAGATTATTGTTGTGACTACTTTCAGAGATTCTGCGTTCCAATTTCATACTTGTACAATCCCCTCTTCCAGAAGCTTCTTGAAAAAGCTTCGGAAATATATGGTTATCAAACAAACGGCCCCTTAATGCTGCCGTGCTCCGTTGAGGAATTTCTTCTTCTCCGGTGGCGGATAGAAAAAGTTGCCTCGAACAACTAATTATATGTCAGCTACAAATTCTTCCTTTGGTTCTGGATATATATTGTTGTATATGATAAAAACGATGGCTCTAATAATCTAGATGCTATGGATGTAAATTTATCTTCCATAAGTTAATGTAGAAAAATTTATTTGAAATACTTGTTCCTCTTCATCTTGGTGATATATAGGTATTGCCTATAATTGCTAGAAACATTTTACTTTATTAACAGTAGGAAGCAAGAATGAAAAACTGTAGGAAAAGAAAACAAGGAATATGGAATGAAAATTTTGCACCCTAAACTCTAAATCGAAGTCTCTTTGCTTAAAGGAACTGATAGAGCACAAAATCAAGAACATAATATTCCTTGATAGAGCATAATCACTAATGGCATAATTCTCTCCCCATTACAGTAATTACATTGATTTAGTTTCCTATTGTACAAACTAGATTAGTGGGACTCTTTTGTATATATTATGTACAATATCATTCTTAATCAAACATAATGAACGTTACAGCAATTCTTTTTATGGTAGCAGAGCTCTCTCTATCAATTGAATAGAGTTTGATCCTTTGCCCACCTACTTAGTCTCCATTACAACTACAATGGAAAATCAAACACCACTAAATACAACAATACCTCCCCAAACCATTTCTGCAGAACCTACTCTTATGTCAACAACTCCACAAATGACGACTCAAGGTGATTCATTTTCTAACGGTGGAAATCTAATCTCTCTTAATGCCTCTTCCCAGATTCCATTCAAACTTGCAAAGAATGGGGTAAATTATGCTTCTTGGAAGTCGCAAATGACCAATCTTCTCTTCGGTTATGGACTTCTTGGCTTCGTTGATGGAACACATCCATGCCCACTGCCAACCGATCCAGAATATATTTATTGGACTCGTCAAGATCGTCTTGTGCTCCTCAGCATCCAGGCCACGGTTAATAGCACAATCAGCCCGACGATCAACAATTGCACCACTTTTGTTGATGCTTGGAACAAATTGGAAACGAGTTTTGCTAATCGTTCCAATACAAGGATGCTCTCTATTATGTCATCCCTCATGACAAACAAAAAAGAAGGGAAGACCGTTGCTGCCTATATGAGCAGGGTAAAGAGCCTCGTTGACGACTTAGCTCTTATTGGACACCCTCTAAATGACTCTCAAGTCATGTCCTATGCCTTAAATGGTCTGGGTGATGAGTTTAAAGAACTCACTGCAGCCGTTCGTGTTCGCGACACTCCACTCTCGTTTGAGGACCTCTATGATAAATTACTCGACGAGGAACTGATTCGTAATAATGGATAATTAAAGGACGAAGAAGTACAAATCACTGCACAATTCACTCAAAAACAGGCTATGTATAAAAATCGTGGTACTCGCTGAGGACATCGTGGTGGTAACAATAGCTCATCACACAACTCACATAACACTCCCACATGCATTTTAATCGCCAACAACAACCTTCTTCTGGACGAGGTATACGCTCATCAAATTTTCAACCACATTTTTCCTCATGGAATTCAAACTCTTATCAGGGAAATCAAAGCCAACATCGCATTGTTTGTCAACTCTGTGATAAACCGGGACACAATGCAAAAACTTGTTACTCTCGTGGACAACCATCTTCTCAGTTATCTCGACCGCAGGCAAATCTAGCTGAACGAGACACAACCCATAACAATAAGAATTGGGTGCTCGATTCAGGTGCCACGCACCATATCACTTCCGATCTCCAGAATCTCTCGATGCACTCAAACTATGTTGGAAATGAAGACGTGGTTGTCGGCAATGGTAATGAAATTCCTATCTCTCATATTGGTTCTGGTTCAATTAATTCTCATGGTTCCTCTTTTGCATTAAACAATGTTCTGTGTGCTCCATTAATAAAGAAGAACTTGATATCTGTTTCCCAATTTTGCAAACAAAATAATGTTTCCATTGAATTTTTTGCTAACTATTTTCTTGTGAAGGATTTGAATACGAGGGCATCCTTGGCGAAAGGCCGGAGTAGACATAACTTGTATGAATGGTCATCTTCAAAAACGAGTCCATCCACCCTCACTCCTTCTACCTCTATTGCTCTTTCCTCTCAGTTATGGCACCAACGTCTTGGTCATCCCTCTCGTTCCATCCAAAAAAGGATTCTAACAAATAATAAAATTCCCTCTTCTGTGCTTTCTTCTGATAAAGTGTGTGACTCTTGTATGTGTAACAAAAGTCATAAACTATCTTTCAAAAGTTCTTTCATTAGCTGTAATGCACCATTTCAAATTATTTATTCAGATGTTTGGGGACCTTCTCCAGTGATCTCTTTTGGCAATTACCGATACTATGTTATTTTTATTGATTATTTCACTAAATAAACATGATTTTATCCTCTAAAGTCCAAATCCGATGTATTTAGTGTTTTTGAAAAATTCAGCAAGTTGATTGAAAATTTCTTTCACTCCAAAATTAAAACCATATACACAGATGGTGGTGGTGAGTACAAAGCTCTTGCTCACCTTTTATCTACACAAGGTATCCAACATCTCACATCTCCACCTTATACACCTGAGCATGTTGGCTCCGCTGAACGGAAACATCGTCATATAGTGGAAACCGGCCTCACGCTAATCCACAATGCTGCCATACCCTTACGATTCTAGTCCCATGCTTTCCAAAATGCCATTTATCTTATCAATCGTATGCCTACACCCGTACTCAACTACGATACACCTTACCAAAAATTATTTGGGCACATACCAAAATATACTTCACTTCGAGTTTTTGGTTGCCTTTGTTATCCATGGCTTCGACCATACAACAGCCACAAACTTGAACCCCGCTCCCATCCATGTGTGTATCTTGGTTTTTCTCTTTCTCACCACTCATTTCTTTGTTTTGATATTAAGTCGAATCGGCTCTTCATCTCTCGACATGTTGTCTTCTTTGAGCACGTCTTTCCTTACAAAGATAAATCATATCCTGACGTATATATCTCAAGCCACAGTTTTTCCAAATACCTATCTACCTTCACAGACAAGAATGTCGACAAAGCAACAGCACCCCCATGTGACCCTTCGGATTCTGTCATTCCACCCTCTCATGAACCATACTTGCTCCCTACACCATCTCGAAGATGTTCTTCTCAACAAGTTGTCTCTACTTCGTCTTCTCCCACGGCTGCTCATCGATCATCTCCACCACATAGCCAAAAAAACATTTCTCTCTTCATACAACTACGATTCTGTCTCTACTCGAAACAGAGCCAACCTCATTTACCCAAGCGAACTCACACTCTCATTAGCGTGAAGCCATGAGCGAAGAGTTTCTAGCCCTTACAAAAAATAAAACTTGGACCCTTGTACCCTCCTCCCCTACGCAGAACATTGTTGGATGTAAATGGGTCTATAGAATTAAAAGAAATCCGGATGGTTCTATTGCTCGCTACAAAAACCGTCTTGTGGCTAAGGGATTTCACCAAAGACCTGGTATTGATTTTACCGAAACTTTCAGTCCAGTTGTTAAACCAGCTACTATTCGCCTTGTTCTTACTATTGTTGTGACTCGTGGGTGGATTTTGAAACAATTGGATGTTAATAATGCTTTCTTGCAAGGTACTCTTTCTGAATCTTTTTATATGCAGCAACCTCAAGGCTTCATCAACTCTCATTATCCTTCACATGTATGTAAACTGCATAAAGCCATATATGGTCTTCGTCAAGCTCCTCGGGCATGGTACAATGAGCTTCGCTCTTTTCTTCTTGATTATGGTTTCGCAAACTCAAAGAGTGATACTTCTCTCTTTATTTATACTACGGGGGCGAGAATCATGTACTTGCTTGTGTACGTGGATGATATAGTTATCACCGGCAATCATCCATCTACAATTTCTACCTTCACTACTCGGCTCTCTAATCGGTTTTCTCTTAAGGATCTCGGGAATCTCAGCTATCTCTTAGGAGTTGAAACATCTCGAACCTCCCGGGACATGTTCCTATCTCAACAAAAATATATTAGTGATCTTCTTAATTAGACACACTAATATGCATGAAGCCAAAGAAGTCCACACTGCATTGTCTCCTTCTGAGACACTCAAACTTGACGACAGCTCATCTAGCCATGATCCAAAAGAGTATCGCCAAGTGCTTGGTTCACTTCAATACCTCTCTCTTACCAGACCGGATGTTAGTTATGCAGTCAGTAAGCTAGCTCAATTTATGCATCGACCAACCGAGAATCATTGGCTTGCTGTTAAACGAGTTCTTCGATATCTAAAGGGCACGTCCCATTATGGTATTTTCATTGCTGCCAGCTCTCCTCTAGCACTTCATGCTTTTGCCGATGCAGACTGGGCTGGTGATGCCGACACCCGACACTCAACATCAGCCTATGTTGTCTTCCTCGGCTCAAATCCCATTAGTTGGAGCTCCAAGAAACAATCGACCATTGCACGGTCATCCACCGAGGCAGAATATCGTGCCATAGCTGCTGCCACTGCTGAAGTAATGTGGATCACGAATTTACTTCGTGAACTATCTCTCTCCTTACAAGCTGCTCCAACAATTTATTGTGATAACATTGGAGCTACTTACTTATGCTCCAATCCTGTTTTCCATTCACGAATGAAGCACATTTCAATCGACTTTCATTTTATACGTGATCAAGTTTCTCAAAGAAGGCTTCGCATCTCCCATGTTCATACAACAGACCAGCTTGCGGACTCCCTTACAAAACCTCTTTCTCGGAAGTGGTTTCTAATTCATCGGTCCAAGCTTAGTGTCCTTCCCGGACCCTTGCGCATGCGGGGGCATGATAGAGCACAAAATCAGGAACATAATATTCCTTGATAGAGCATAATCAGTAATGACATAATTCTCTCCCCATTACAGTAATTACATTGATTTAGTTTCCTATTGTACAAACTAGATTAGTGGGACTCTTTTGTATATATTATGTACAATATCATTCTTAATAAAACATAATGAACATTACAGCAAATCTCTTTAGGAACGACTCTTCCATCTTACATAATGAGTTGTTGGAGTTATACTTTTAGGGTGCAAGTTGAATTTAACCCTAAATTGTACTCCATTTATCCCATGTATGTTATTTATTTATTTTGGGATGTTTTGGTGTCCCAATTTATTTGTTATTAGAGTATAAATAAAACAATAATTGCATTTTTATCAAAACTGCCCATTATTACTCTTAATTAGTTAACTGAAAAATAATTAATAACAATGGTATTTTAGTATTTACTATATTATTTTTGATATAATATATGCATATTTATTGAGTCTCTTAATACGCGAGCAATCATCCAAAACGACACCTAATGTTTGACGGATGCAGTATATCTTCTTGAATGATTCAAATAATTGAGATTTAGAAATTGAAGACTATTATATTGAAAATCATGATATTATAATTGAGTTATATAAATTACATTACCTAAAAAGACTAGCTCAAATGGACTAACATACTATTTATAAATATTTGGGCAAATTGCACTTCACCCACCAAAAAAATCTTTTTTTGCACTTTCCCCCTTCAAAATACAAACATAAGACAGCCCCCCTTCAAATTTGTATTCAGGCAAAGTGTACCGAGTTGTATATTAAGAAAGCGAAGTGCAATTTGCCATAAATATTTAAACTATATATAATATTTAAAACTATTGAGTTATATAAAATTCATATAAATGTTCATAAATCTAATTGATAAATTCCAAGATTCGATAGTCTTAGCACTTTGTGATGTCTCAATGGTGATCAACAAGTGATCTTCTTCGTTAAACTCAAGAAATTAAGATTATGAATACAAAGTACGGAACGATTCTTTTTTGTCTTATTTTTTCTTCTTCCTTATTTTTTATATCTAAAGAATATTTTTTTGAGTAAATATCTAAAGAATATTTTACAAAAGCCAAAAAACGAGCACCCAAGATTTGACAAAACAAATTAGTATATTTTTTACACTCTTAGTACTTGTAATATTTAATTCATTGGCTGCAAAACCATATCTTCCACCCCATTATATTTGCTAGTAATCATCGATTAGTTATGATAAAGTAAAAAAAATACAAAATTTAAATAAAGATATATTTAATTTCCATTTCAAATAAAATATTGATCAATTTCAAATTCTATATATATAAGTCCTTGTGACAAGATAGTATCACATCATAACTCTAAACATAAACTCAATACTTCTCACATAAATTCAAGTGTTTTTTTTTTCTAAATTTATTTTCTTTCAACCCTAAATAGAAATAAAAGAGAAAAAATGGAAGAGAGGAAGAAGATTAAGTTGAAGAAAGG